TCTCTCTCTCTCTCTCTCTCTCTCTCTCTCTCTCTCTCTCTCTCTCTTTGAGATAGGGTCTCATTCTGTAGCCTAGACTATCTCTGAATTCACAATGTAGCTCATGATTCTCCTGCCTTAGCCCCCCATGTGCTGGGTTAGGGCTTGCACCACTGTCCTCAGTCCTCATGCCTTTTTTAAAAGCACTTTAGTAGCAGGGCATGATGTTGAATGCCTTTAATCCCAGCACTCAGGAAGCAGAGGTAGATGGATCTCTGCGAGTTTGAGGCCAGCCCACTCTACAAAATGAGTTCCAGGCCAGACAAGGCTAAACAGTCCCCTCCCCAATTATTTTTCAAATTGTACTTTTGTTATTCTAATTGTAAGTATCCATGGAGTACTGCATGATAATCTTATACATGCATTTAACTGTGCTGACCAAATCAAGGTAGTGTTACTCTCTCCTTATACATCTCTAAAAAAATTATTAGTACGTAGTAATTGAACATATTTATGAGGTACAGTGCGATATTTCAGCATTTGTTCAATGTGTGCTGAGCAAATCGGGGTAATTAGTTCTTTCTCGCTTTCGCTTTGTCTGTGAAGCCTCCACCTCCTCTGTCTGTCTTCCCGCTCACTGTGAACTCCTGTCACTCCGCGGTTTCAGAACACTGGCGCTCATTACTTCTGTCCGTAGTGCTGCCCAGCTTCCCGTGTCCCTTGTCTCCTCTCCTCCTCTTGAACTCTGCGTCCAAACTCACTATTTTAGCATCCACACAGGAAAGAAAACATGGCGCTTGTACTTCTGGGTCTGGCTAATTTCACTTTACTCGGCATCCTCCCCTGTGGCCCATTTTCCTTAGAAAGATTATCTTTCTGTATTATAGCTGAGTAATTTTCCATTATGGATATATACCATGTTTCCTCATTTATCCAACGGCGAGCATATGGATTAATTTCATATCTTACTACTATCAGGACTACAGCAATATCTGATTGGTTCAATCTACAGTTACCTCAGCAGATGCAGGAAAAAGCATTTGATAGAATTCAGTATTCCTTGGGCTGGAGAGATGCTCAGCAGTTAAGAGCACTTGTTGTTCTTCCAGAGGACCTGAGGTTTTCCCATCACTCACATGGTAGCTTCCAACCATCTGTAATTCCAGCTCCAGGGGATCTGACATCCTCTTCCGACCTCTGCAGGCACCACACACGCTTGTGATGTTTATACATACGTGCAGGCAGAACACTTACAAGCAAAAAGATAAAACAGATAAATCTAAAAATAAAAACAGAACTCAATATTCTCAACAAAGCTATCAAAATTCCATACAGAAGGAGTATACATGAAACCTATAAACATATAAACCTATACATATAAACCTCATGTATGACAACTCACTGCCAGTATTATATCTGATTGGGGAGAAGTTTTCAGTTTTGTGTTTATGTCTCAGATAAGACAAGTATGTGTCCACCTACACTATTCCTCTTCTTATAGTATTGGAAAGTCTCTCCGTAGAGCAGTAAGGCAGGATAAATAAAAAAAAGACATACGTACAGGAAGAGAAGTCTACCACTTCTGCTTACATATAATCTGATTCTATATATAGAAAAACCTAAGGATTCCACAAAAAGACTAAACTGGCAAATGAATTCACTAAAGTCAAATAATTAAAAAATATACCAAGGTATCATCTCAGTACCACTGGGGCTGGAAAGTTGGTTCCATCAGTGAAGTGTTTGCTGTGCAAGTGTGAGGACCTGAGTTCTCACCCCGCACACCCACAGGACAAGACCGGCTTGGAGTGCCTGCCCATAACCCAGCTCTGGTGGCTGGGGGAGGCATGGAGACAGATAGATCCCTGGAAATCCCTGTGTGGAAGTCTAGCCACATCAGTGAGTTCAGTGAAGACTCTGTCTCAAAAAATGGAAGGTAGAGGGGTAGAGATATGGTTTCCATTGTGTGCACATATGTACACACACATGCATAAATAAGTGAACACACACCACACACACACACACACACCATGGTCAGTAACAGTCCTTCTTTATTATGGTACTAAAGATTGAGCCCAGGGACTCATGAATGCTAGGCAAATGTTCTGCCAATGGCCTATGTCCCCAGCCCATCAGTCACATCCTTAACACACCAATGACAATATTGTTGACAAGGATGTCTGAAAGTACTCGTTTTGTTTAAAAAGTGTGTGTTTGCACATGTTTGGACATAATGGCTGGGCACACTGGCTCACACCTGTAATCCTCACTCTCAAGAGGCAAAGGCAGGAAGATTACAAGTTTGAGGCCTGCCTGAGCTACATAGTGAGATCCTGTCTCAAAAAAGTGGTGAAATTATATAAAGATGTTATTTATCTTTATTGATAAAACAGTTGCATAATTTTTTAAAAATAAAAAAGATTAATAATTTAACTCCTCCCAAATCACATGCCTCTAGTTCCAGTGCTCAGAAGGAAGGAGCAGGTGAGTTTTCCTGACACAAGAGTAGTCTACACAGGGAGTCCCAGGCCAGCCAGGAGCAAGCAGCTCTTCTTTCAAAAAGCAAATCAATTAATTAACTATCCAAACTTAACCTTTATTTTTTATTTTTTTAAAAAATTTATTGATTTTTATTGAGTTCTACATTTTTCTCTGCTCTCTTCCCTGCCTCTCCCCTCCCCTTCAACCCTCTCCCATGTTCCCCACGCTCCCAATTTACTCAGGGTATCTTGTCTTTTTCTACTTCCCATGTACTTTAGGTTCATGTATGTTTCTCTTAGGGTCCTCATTATTGTCTAGGTTCTCTGGGATTGTGAATTGTAGGCTGGTTTTCTTTGCTTTATGTTTAAAAACCACCTATGAGTGAGTCCATGTGGTAATTGTCTTTCTGCGTCTGGGTTACCTCACTCAAAATGATGTTTTCTAGCTCCATCCATTTGCCTGCAAACTTCAAAAAACTGTCATTTTTTTCTGCTGTGTAGTACTCCATTGTGTAAAGGTACCACATTTTCCTTATCCATTCTTTGGTCGAGGGGCACTTAGGTTGTTTCCAGGTTCTGGCTATGACAAACAAAGCTGCTATGAGCATAGTTGAGCACATGTCCTTGTGGCACAATTGAGCATCCTTTGGATATATACCCAAAAGTGGTATTACTGGGTCTTGAGGAAGGTTGTTTCCTAATTTTCTGAGAAATCACCACACTGACATCCACAGGGGCTGTACCAGCTTGCATTCCCACCAGCAATGCAGAAGTGTTCCCTTTTCCCCAAAACCTCTCCAGCATAAGTTGTCATCAGTTCAACCTTTATTTTATTTTTTTTTCTTAAAAAAAGCATGCTTAGCCCCTGTCATTCTGCAAATAAGATCTCTGAACATGCTGTTTACCATTTTATATAGACTCTCTTCTAATAGTTGTCAAAACTGAGCTGGGAACAATGGCACACACTGTAGTCCCAGAGCTTTGCAAGAATAAGGAAGGAAAGTCTGTTGAGCCAAGGAGTCCAAGACTAGTGCAGTCAACATAAGAAGATCCCATCTCAGAAACAAACAAACAGAAAACTGAACATAGAGGACTGGGAAGATAGGTCAGCTGATGCATGCTTGCCCAGCATGCACAAAGCCCAGAGCCTATCTGTCCCGCGCTTCTGTCTTGCCAGCAAGAACCACGCGGTACACATAGGATCCTTCTGCAGAAAAGC